GGCGGGCACAGCGCGAGGGAGGACAGGCGAGGGTCCCCTGGGGTATCCCGGAGGCCCCGAATGGCCGGGATCCCGGGGACCGGGCCAGCTCTTCCCCGCAGGGACCTTCCGGCGGACCCGGCCGGAGTGTCGTGGGCGACAGGGACTCGGTCCCTTTGAGCCTCCCCGCCCCTGCCGCCTTCGTGAAAAAGGCCGGTCAGCGGAGTCCCGCCGCCTGATCTGGGGGAGGCGTAAACTTCACCTGCGGCTCTGCGCTCCGTGCGGCCAGGCTGGAGGCCCCGGACGCGGGCGGCGGCTGCGCGACCCCGCCCGGCGGCTGCAGGCTGCGCTGGAGCGCGGCGCCCCGGGAGGCTGGGGGCGGGGCGCACGGTGGACCCGGGCTGCGAGCGCGTGCGCGTGTGTGTGCGCGCACGCCCGGGGCGGCGGCGGCGCGGAGCACGTGCGCGGCTCTCTCGGGTCCCCTTTGGCGGGGTCCTGGGCACCCCCGAGTGTGGCCCTCTGGGCACCACCCGTAGCGGCACCTCCTGGCGCAGGTCAGCGCCCAGGCCCGGCCGGGGACCACGTGCCAAGTCGCTCTGGGTCCCCTTGCCGGGATGCGGCAGGGCCTTGGCACTGGCGGCGGGGCTCTGTTCGGCCTTCACAGAGTATCTGCCTGGAACTTCCTGTTCCTCAGGCGTTGTCACTGAAGGGTCGTTTCCCGACGCCTGGTCGTCTGACTTTGGAGCCTTTGTCTCCTTAGGCTGTGCCCAGAGCCGGGCCACAAAGCCCACTGTCCCTTCCTGCCCACGGAGGTCCTGGAGGGGCCTTCCTGCTGCGCCCCTGAAGAAAGGTAGACCCCCCATGTGGTTGCAGGCCCCTCCCTGCGCGCACAGGTTCAACACCTTGCAGCCGCTGGCTCTGCCCGCGGCCTCTGACTCTGACGTTCTGTGTGGTCGCCTAACCTGCCTGACCACTGAAAGTGAACACAGGAGGTCTGCATCCTTTCTGGGGCCAGGCTCTAACTGGCCACACATACCCGCTTGGCTAAGGCAGAGTCCCCCTCCCTTCAGGACTACAGGAGCCACCTGCTGACGGGCCCTGGACATGTGGAACGAGGAGAAATCAGCCTTTGTGTAAACTACTGAGATTTGGAAAGTAATTTTATCACAACGTAACCTAGTTTAGCCTGACCCATCGCCTACCGCAGGCCTCCCTGCCTGGCCTCCCTGCCTGACTAGCATGTAGGCATCTGGCATGTAATCAAACTTCCAGTGCAGAGGTGAGTTCCGGGCCTCCCAGGTACTGCTTTCTCCTGCAACTCCACCAGGCAGGTGGAAGGCGCCGGTATATCGCCTGCAGCCCAGGAGGGGCTCAGTGTTCACCCAGTGCCGGTGCCAAAGGAGGAGTGTTTTTGCAGTCAGATGCCCCATCCCGGAGCTATACCCCCAGGAGTGTTTTTGAAGTGGGAGCAGCAGCTGGGTAATGCCTGGAGCCCTGCACCTCCGCCTGGACCTCACAATCCCAAAACACATGCAGCCTCTGACCACACCTCACCTCCTCCCCGTCCCAGACTCCGCAAGTGGCAGAAAAGGATTGAAATGTATAACACATCCCACCCCCTTCTCCAGGGAGAGTGGCAGGAAGGGTTACCGTCAATGCTGGAGGCTAAGGACCTGCAGGTAGCAGGTAGCGGAGAGGGGCCGGCCACAGAGGGGCTGGAAAGTGAACACAGGTCAGAGTCCAGGACACTTCCCCTCCCCCTCCCCCCGAGATGGGTTGGCCGGTCCCCTGGGTACAGGCACAGAGGGGCTCCTGACTCAGGGATGCCAAGGCCGACAAAGGACAGAGTGAAGAGGGCTGGAGGGATTCGTGGGGGGGTCTGCATGCCGAACTGGGAGACCCTCCTTCCCCTCCCCGCCAAAAGCCCCAAACGCCAAGCCAGGCGCCTGCCCCCGTCCGGAGACAGGAAGGCCCTCCTGTGGGCAGTCTGACACTAGACCCTAAGGTCTGGGGCTCTGCGTGGGCTCCACGGAAAAGAGGGACCAGTGTAGCAGACGAGACCTGCAGCAGCCTGCGGGCTCGGGGCGCAGCTCTCTGTCCCAGCCCCAGCGCAGGGTCTCGGGATGCGCAGGGTCTCATGGTGCCAGCCAGGCTGAGAGTGGGGTGCACACAGGCAGAGAAAGGGTTAGGAGCTGCGGCACCCCAGAGCACCCAAGCCACGGCCCCACTTGAGGTGGCTTCTAACTTCCCGAAGGCTGTGGGGCCTGGGCTGGAACGGGCCGGCGTGACGGGGAAGGGGCAGTAGAGAGTCCTGAGCCCCGAGTGCCCACACTGGTCAGGGACGTCAGCCCTGGGAGGGCCGGGGCCTCGCCTGTCCTGTTCCAGTGGCAGGAGACCGGCAGTGACTCTGAACAGACAGACACATCCACAACATCCGGCAGCCAGGAGCACACAGTGGGGGCCTGTGCACAGTGGGTCCCGCGACCACCGTAGCCTGGGGGCTCCCGCGGCTCTGGGAGCCGGCGTCAGCGTTGCTGGGCCTGACCGTAAACAGAGAGCCCTGGGAGCTGTCAGGGCACCGACCCCAGGAAGAAGCCAGTGTGGGGGACAGAAAGGGGCTGTTGCTGGAGGACAGCGAGTGTCCGGCTGGGGCAGTTTTGTACCCGGGGCTCAGGCCCTGAGACCCAGACACAGATGTACGTCTGTCTGTCACCCGCCATGAAGCCACGGTTCTGAGGGACACGCCTCCGACGCCGGCAGAGATTGCCCCCAGGCTGGCACGCAGCAAGCCCTGCCAGCTCCGTGTGTCCTTTGTCTCCTGTCACCATTCTGAAATGAACACTTGCGCTCTTCCCACGCTCTGCCCGTGCTTTTGAAGAGTCCTTTTATTAAGTCTCCTCAGATCACCCCATTAGAGCCTGCGCTTCCCTCGGTGAACCAGATCCAGAACCGGCGGAACTGCGAAACGCCCACGTGGGGTCTTGATGGGGTGCTCACCCGTGCGGGGAATCCGTGGGTCCCTCCTTCCCCGTGGGAGCGACTGTCCCTGCCTGTCGTGCCGCCAGAGTCGCCCCTGGCGGGACCTGGGACAGAGTGTAGGAAGGCAAGGGCTTCGGAGACAGTGCCTCGGGTTGCTATGGTGACGTATTGATTCTAAAGGTCATGGGGCCACCGGGCTTCTGTGGCTGATTCTGAGCGCAGAGGAAGGACACAGGCAGCTGGCAAGTGGAGAAGCCGCCGCCGCGGGGGATCCCACCCCCGGGACGCGCTGGGCTGAAGCTCACGGTCCACTGGACCCTGCAGGTCTCCTGCTGCAGCCGTCCTAGGCCGGCCGTGACAAATGACCACACCCGCGGTGGCTCAACAGCAGAAACTTGCCCTCCCACGGTCCCAGAGGCCGGCACTCTGAAATCAAGTGTTGCCAGGGCCGGTTCCCTCTGGAGGTCCTGAGAGAATCCGTTGCGTGCCCCTCTCCAGCCTCCAGGGTCCCAGCAATCCCGGTGTGCTCGGCTCTGGGACACATGGCCCTGGTCCCTGCCTCCATCACGCCACCACCCTGTCATCTGTCGTCCTGCCCTTTTCTTCCCTTGTAAGGGCCCTTGTTGGATTCAGGGCCCAGCCTAATCCAGGATGGTCTCATCCTGAGATCCTTAACGTAATTGCATTTGCAACGAGCCTTTTTCCACATGAGGACACAAGCACCGGGCTGACACGGACATGTCTCTTGGTGGGGAGGGGCCCCCACATAACCCCTGCCGTCCACCCGCCGGGCCCCCAGAGTCCACACCCGTCCCATGAACAGCACATCCGCCGCATGCCCACATCCCCAGAGCACCAACACCACAGCACAAACTCTAGGTCCGAAACCCAGCTAAATGTTTCCAACTCAGAAGCTCTTAGTCTCCTCTAAACGAGGCGTGGGGGAGGCTCTGGGTGCAGTGGCTCCTCTTCCCCGTGCACGCGAGGAACTAGAAAACAAGTCACCTGCCCCCAGACTGCAGTGGCGGGACGGCGCAAGGTGCACACGCCGGTTCCTGAGAAGGAATAGAGGAGTCACGGGTCCCAGGTAAGTTCAAATTCAGCATGGCAAATTCCAGGTTTCAAGGCCCGATGAGACTCCTCTGCCTCGGCGCTCCACCCCCTGGGCCCACGGAGGACCCACGGGCCTTGGGGGCCACCCTCAGAGTTTTTGTCCCGAAGGGCAGCCCACACATGCAACTGAGCGAGCTGCTTCCTGCTCACAGAATCTTGGAAATCTGACAGCCCTGGCCTTTCAGTGCAAGCCGGCAGTGTTTCTGCTGGTACAGCACTCTGAAAACCTGCGCGAACGTCCTGTATATGCCAAAGGGATCTGCGAGACAAGAGAGTCCCTGCAGATCCCTCCCGGACAGCCCTCCCTGCTCCTCGCTCCTGCTGAAGCTGCTGAGGAGACCATGAGCCACCTGCCCAACCTCTTCAGCAAAAGGTTGTCCGGCCACACCCGCAGGCCCCTGTTCAGAACACGCCTTTCCAACAGTGACTTTGCTGTTTTCGCACCCTTTGCAACCGGGGCAGGCCAAGAACCTCCCAAGTAATTAAGTGCTGTTCCATTTTTGGTAACATCCTCCCTGAATTTATCCTTTCCTCTCACACTTGACCGTAAACAGCAGGAAGACGCCAGCCTGCAGCTCAACACTTTGCTTGGGGATCTCCTCAGCTAAACATCAGGTTCATCACTCACTCCTGCTTCCCCCCGATGGCAGAACCCAGCTCAGTCGAGTCTCCTACCACTCGCAGCAGGGTGACTTTCCCTCCGGTGTCCAGCAACACCTCCTCGTCTCCTCCGTCCCTCACCCAAAGCATAGGCCATGTTTCCGCCACCCGTCTCCTGCAGCCTCTCGGCCGACGGGTGAAGCTCTCCGCGGTGACCAAGGCTTAGCCCCGCTCCTTAAAGCCAGCTGATTGCAGGAGGTAACCACGTTGACGAGATTCCTTCCCAGCAACACCTGGATTAGCGTTTGATCAATCGCTCCCAGACGGGTTGACGCGTACAGCCAACCATTACACCTGCGCTAAAGCAAGGACACGTGGGGGGAGGGGGCCTTGCAGTTCAGCTGGGGCACGTGGGCCACACAGGTGAGGCTGAGCACGCCCAGCCCGCCAGCGCCCTGCCGCAGAAGCAACCTTCGTCTCCCGAGGGCCCGAGCCTGCCTTCTACAGTGGACTCAACGTAGCCAGTGAGAACCGGGGAGGTATCAGGGCAGCTGCCAGTGGACAGTGACCAGGCCACCACCATAAGCCCAGGACAGAGATGGGACCAGATGTCTGACCACGGGTTGCGGGCAACACCTGACCGACCACAGGGTCCCTATAAAAGGGCTTGACAGTGGAGCCACCAGTTCTCTGCTTGCGGGAGGAAACCCACCTTGGGGCATCATGGAAAGATCCACAGCCTCCTACCCGGTTCCCAGCTCCAAGCCGGTTCGTGGAGCGAGATCTCTGAAGGAAGAAGGGACAGGGTCCTTTTGAGGGAGGACCTGCCGTGCAGCCAGTGTGTGCCCCGACCTTCCCGAAACGCCCCCAGAGAGGCCTACAGTGCGGCCAGTGTGCGCCCCGACCTCCCCAGTTTGCCGGATGACCTGGCCTGGGAGTGGTTAGAACAGAGTCTGTTTCCCAGAGACAACATGGCACCGGGTCCACTCTCAGGGTGAGGACTTTGGAGGGAGGTGGGAGTTCAAGTCCATCTCACAGCGGGTCTGGGGGGGCCACACACCGTCCTTTGGGTCTTTCCCCAGTCTCAGAGTAAACACGCTTAGTGACGGCAGCTTCCCCTCACCTGGGGAGTAAGGTTATGGGAAAAGGGCTGGATGGAGGTCCCTGAACC